AAGGTATAGATGCATCTCTCGGGTTGCTTGTACCATCGACAAGAATAGCAGGGGTGCGTGCCGTCGCACTTGGTTTTCCTTCGCTTGCATTCGGCACAAGCCGTTTTGATTCGAGCATCCCGGACCCCAGACTGATGCGCAAGTGTCCTAGGTGGCGTACGCGTCTCAACGAGTGCAAATTCCTGCTGTGTGGGATGCTGATTTGTCGCCATCATGACAGCTTGATCCAGAAGACTCGGAACTGGTGGTGACAACGCCCGATGGCGATAATCCTCAGGAACATGGCGGAGATTGCGGCGCAAATTCACCCGATTTCGCTGCTGCCCCTACATCTAGACCGTCGTGACGAGCGCCACGCTTGAGACAGCATCGACGTAGTGACTGTGATGACGAGTCGGTGCAGCGTGAATAGAGTGTTTATCACGATTGTTAGAGGCAGACGTGGAGGTGAGAAAAGAGCGGATGTCTGGCGCAGTCGACACTGACTGAGAAAATGACTGCGACTCATTGGTTCGGATTGGCTTTGACATGTGATTCGTACACTAACCACAAATAGGAAGGCGCTGGCCTTTTATCCTTATCCGGCTTATCAATAACACGCTCCCCGCACTGGGAACCTCGTCCTCGGCAGCAACTCGCACTGATTGACTGATTGACTGGCAGAACTTGGTAGTGTCTGCGCCTAATAAAATAGCAGATCCTCCACGGCGCTTTTGATAATCTTCGGTCACTCACCGGCGCACTTGAGAAATTACCCAACAAATGAGTTCTTGCTTCCGACTCTCCAACAAAATCCCTTCGTCGAGAAGCTCTTGAAACGGCAAACGACCCCCTCCGAAAAGCTCCACTATCCATCCACCAGTACAATTAACCTGATTACCATGGCTGCCTCCCAAAGACCCTCAGCGTGGTCACGAGCCATGAAATCCGGGGAAATAGTCGAGCGATAGGCATTGATTCAGCCATTGACGACACGGAGGTCGCATTCCGGAAGGATGCCGTGGATCCGTGTCTTTATCAGGCGGGTCGGTAGCCGGGGTGTTCTGGCCAGGGTCGTTTGCATCCAACATGCCGTAGCACCATTTCGACTTCTATACTATCGAGCAGCTTCAGATAAGTGAACTGCTACCGTTACTACGGTGGCGAGTCCTTATCTTGATGCTTCAAGCCAACGCTGAAAGATAGACGGGCTGATAGTTCCTTCATCCGAGGACACAAGACCACAGCAATTTCTACCTTTAATATAGGTTCGGCAACTCAGACATCTGTGGATGACCGGAGAGAATCAGGAACACCTCCAACAGCAACAAATCTCACCTCAACTCCACCATGTCTTCACGCAAAGATGACACGAAAGGTGAAGTCACCAACGTCAAAGAGGAACACCATGCCGAACTGTTGGAGCAGTCAAAGATTGCTACTCATATTGAGCACTCGCTTGGAGTCATTGAAGCTGTCAAACTTTATCCTATGGCGGTGTTTTGGGCGTCGTTATTCGCCTGGTCGTTGGTAAGTCCTGCGGTCCTAGCAAGCCCCCTACACTCTAAAAGGGCAGACCAGAACACAAAGACGTCGTCCTAACGAGAGATAGGTCATGGTCGGCTATGATTCAGGGCTAATTTACAGCTTCTATGCCCTGCCAGCCTTCGTCAAGAAGTACGGCACCAACTACGGGGGTGACATTGGCTACGAGGTATCCGCGAAATGGCAGAATGTGCTCGGCATGGGAACGCCCGTGGGCCAATTTCTTGGAGCTTTTACCGCCTCGTGGCCGATGGAGAGATGGGGCCGAAAGAAAGTCTTCTGGGCGTCCCTTTTTTTCAGCACTGCCTTCATCTTCCTCCAGATGTTTGCAAACAATATTCACACCCTGGCGGCAGGTGAATTCCTCGCGGGTATTCTCTATGGTACCTACGTCGTCTTGGCCCCGACATACGCGTCGGAGGTGTGTCCCTTGGCTCTCCGCGGCATCTTGAACGCTGGGATGAACCTCGCCTATGTCATTGGACAGTTTGTCGCTTCGGGGGTTGGCAAAGGGTTTTCAGAGAGGACTGACCAATGGGCCTACCGCATCCCTTTTGCGATTCAGTATATTTGGATTCCCATTCTTGCTTTCGGCCTCATCTTTGCTCCGGAGAGCCCTTGGTGGCTTGTGCGCAAGGGTCGGGTGGAAGAGGCCGAGAAGGCGCTGAGACGCCTTGCGAGAGAGTCACCCAAAATCGATATCAGAGCCACGCTCGCAAACATTGAGACGACTACGATGCACGAGATCGAGGTGGAAAAGGACACAACATTCATCGAATGCTTCCGGGCGTCGAATCGTGCTCGCACCGAGGTCGCCATCATGGTCCAGATCTTCCAAGTCATCACTGGCATCTCACTGATTGGCTATGCCGTTTACTTCTTTACGCTGGCTGGCCTGCCTGTCAGCGCCTCTTTCGACATGGGAGTTGGCAACACCGCCATCGGTTTCGTGGCCACTTGCTGCTCTTGGGTCTTCATGTCCTTCTTCGGCAGAAGGACCATCTACATGTATGGGGTGGGCATGATGGCCGTGTCACTCTTCATCATTGGCATTCTGGACTGCGTCCCACACTACACCTCGCGTCCTGGCCTGGCGTGGGCGCAAGCCGCTCTCCTTGACATTCTGACGTTCCTGTTCCAGGGCACCGTCGGACCCATCAACTTTGTCATCTTTGCAGAGATTGGCGCCACGCGTCTGCGTTCCCAGACGGTCGCTCTGGCGACGAGCACTGGCTCCATCGCCCAGATCATCATGACCGTCGTGGTTCCGTACATGCTCAACGCGTCCTCGGGCAACTGGCGGGGCAAGACGGGATTTTTCTTTGGCGGACTCAGCACTATCGCCACCATCTGGTGTTTCTTCCGTCTGCCCGAGACCAAGGGACGCACGTACGAGGAGCTCGACTACATGTTTGAGGCGGGTATTCCGGCGCGGAAGTTCAGGGACTTTAAGATCACCGAGGCGCGAGAAGTCGAGGTTTGAGACGTGACAGAGGTGGCGGGTGGGTGTGCAAGGTGATAACGTGTCGATGAACAGATGGTACCGAATCGCAGAGTGAGATTAGAGATGTGCCTTGTCTATATGTATCCGACCAAGACGTGCTTGGAAATGTGAGTCTCATAGTTTGCACAATACGAAACATTTGCATCGTTCAGCGAGGGCATTCCCTTCGGTTGGTCTAAAGTTATAAGCATATGACTGCTCTCTTGCATTTGACTCGGCTCTCCCCATGTCTATTCCTATCCTATGGCCTGTCGTCCCCACACCATAGCATGCCTGCATAGCCTCGTGGCTTTGAAGCTGGCTCGCCGTCAGGTCAAGTAGGCACCACGTACCTAAACAACCAGAATCGCGGTGCAAAGTCTGGAAACACTGCCAGCTCACAAACCAAAACCCCTTCCTTTGCATTCGATTCCATCTCCAGATCTCGCTCTACACCACGTAGCCGCATAGTCCTTGCGATATTTATTGATTTCTCGACCAGAGGATCCCTGAGCGGACCCCCCCCCCCCCGCCCCCCCGGGGTTGCCGATGCCCAATTGTCGTAGAATCAGATCGTGTTGGGTTGGAATCAAAACCTCCCCCGCTGAAAATCCACCACCATGACCTCCTCGACCACACCCGTCAAAACCTCGACGCCGAAGCCCCGGTGCACCGGATCCTCGTGGACATACCAGTCCCGGTCCTCGCGGGACGCGAACTCGAGGACAAAGACGGCGTGGAACCCGCGGTGCAGGTCCTCGACGCTGACGTCGCGCCCGCCCGTGAAGGAGCGGATGTAGGGTTTGCGCGTGGCGGGGGACAGGCAGCGCGTTTGGAGGGCGAGGAATTGGTGCGAGATGGAGGCGCGGGTGCTGGGGGGGATGTGTGCGTAGAAGCGGAAGTGGACGATGTGGATGATTGAGTCGTCTGAGGAGGAGGAGGAGGAGGAGGTGCTGTCGATGAGGGTGTCGGGCACAAGGGTGATGGAGCCCATCTCTTTGCCGATGACCGTCTGATCTCTTGAGTATGGTTGATAGTTGATGTGCTTTGAGGCTGCCTGCTATATGCTATGCTGGGTGTTGGACAATTGACAACCCGACAATGTTAACGTATTTCTCTCCGCTGAAAGCCGTTGCTCTTATGCGATCTCCAACGAGTACCGCTCGCAAATGACACCTCTGGGACAAAGTCCTCGTCGAGTCAGTGTAGATACCTGACCTGCACTGGATGGATGTATATACAGTACCCTACTATGTACCTTCTATGGACCTACCGTATGAAGCAACTCCTCAAGGGTCCACCCAGCCCCGACACGGTCAGAGAGAAGCGACAACAGACAGACAGAAACATCACATCACACATCACACATCCTATTTCCTATTGCACCTCTGGGCCCGAAGCACTCTAGATTGACGGTCAAGACAGCCTCTCACTCGACTGGTACACTGCGGTCCAATTCCAGAAGGTGAAGCTTACCTACCCCGTGTTCGTGCTCGCATCATCGTGTACGGGCACACGAGTACGCGGGCAAAGACTGCGTGGGTCTCCGTGGTCCGTGGCCCGTGTCCCGTGGCTGATCACGGTGGCGGGACGCCAGGATGGGACGCGGATGGCACTGTGTCTTTTGCCGTCTCATGTCGATTTGAGTCGAGGCGACGGCGGCGGGCGGTAAGTCAGGGTAGTATTCGCTTGGGTGGAATCGCACTCGCAAGTCGTACGATGAGTGATGGCGCGGTGGATACTACGTGTATACGGTTAGTCAATTAACTAGTTGAAAGTATCTATCTAACTATCTGCTTGTACAGGTAGGCCGAGCTACATCACTAGTATATGCCAATGTTCAGATCTGGATTTCTGATTGTGATCCGTGCTCTGAGTAGTGTTTGGATGACTAACTGTATACTACTGGACTATACTACCTTCGGGCTCTCCCCTCCTGACTCCCTCGTCCCTCGGCTACTTCTAGAGAGCTCAGCAAAAACCAAGCTTCAGTCTAACACGTCTGCGGTCTCCAATTCGGGATCGCATACGAATTGTTCGGGGTAACCATATTGAAGGTCCCCTCCCACTTCCACGCGTGCAAGAACCAGCCTACGTTGTTCTTCTTAAAGAACTGGCAGTTGGCGTCGTACGTCTTCCAGAACGTCGTGTACTGCGGAGCACCAATGTCTTTGCTGCCCTGGTGTAGAACGTTGAGCTCCCATGCCCATTGTGTCTAAGAGGGAACTGAGAATCAGTCCTGTATCAGCGTTGAAGCGCTAGAGAGATCTTACCTCGGAGATGACAAGAGGAACAGGCGTGTAGTTCTTGTACCAGTGTACCTGGTCACTGATATAGTCCCAGGATCCAGAGATATTGTATCCGTGGTAGTACGGCATGATATGAGCATGGACAAAGTCGCTCTGCGGAAGAATCTGCTTCCCAACAGGACCGAGACCCGGTGCTTTGCCTGCTGTGTAGTTGCTACACAAGATGCCAGGACGGTCCCAGTCTTCGCTGATGCCGACTGGAATGCCATAGGGTTTCACTGTCGCCTTGAAGTCAATGAGGTCATTGATGAAATTGTCGCCGTCGTCCTGATCGCCGATCGGTTCGGTACCGAATTCAATGCTGTGAAACACGTAAGGCGCGATGTCCTTGTAGGTGCTGTTTGAAAGGATCTCGATAATGGAGCTGGCAATCTTTTGCCAGTATTCAAGCTGTAGCCAAGTTTGAGCAGACAAATGACAGCGACCAAGGGTTCCAAACATACGGGATCGCCGTTCAGTGGCCAGGCGACTTGGGCAACAACTCCCATGTCATTGGCGACAGCTGCTTTGATCAAATTCTCCCAAATGTACGTGGTGTAGCAATATGGCAGGTAAACCCTGATCAAACTTGCTCCAAAATCACGTTTCTGGCGCTGCAAGTCGGCGTTGATGCGGTCAAAGCTGTCGTCGTAGCACTCCCCTTCCATGGGATAGGAGAAGCCGAGGAAACCATAGGTCATGGATTGAGGGCACCACCACTCCTTCCTGGTCACGTTGGGTGCTTGGAGCGAGCCATTGAATGAGGCACTCCCGAAAGGAAAGCAGTTCACATTCTGACCTCGAACGGGTGACGCAGCGGGAAGGGCCCAGACGCTACTGGTAAGGACGGCAACAATAGATATCACGACAGCGCGCATGTTGTTGGTTAGAGACAGACTTACTCTGCGATGTTCTTTGGGACCCAGCAAAGGGTGGACAAGAACATATTGTATTGACCGACCACTGCGGCTAGGAACTTGTGCTTTGCGATTGACTGTCCGTGCGTGTACAGCATCCATCAGGAACGCACCAGCAATCATACGTGCCATTGTCCCTTTCCTGCTTGAGCTTGATACCGGAAGCCATTGAAGTGTAGCTATCGGTATGTGCGGAAGGAACAATGCGATCATTTTCTGTTTTGGGTCTGTCGAGCGCGCAACATGATTTGCTAGGGTTGACGTCGAGAGTAAATAATAGCGAAGCCGGAGATATGGACAATACTCAATGCCATCCGGGAAAGGGATGTTGAGATTCCGTACACGTGATGCCGAATTATGTTGACGCTGCCGATTGGCTACAGCCACGAGGCTTGCGGCCAGCCTTGTGCGGTACACGTATGAGGTGGCCTTTAGGGCTTCATCTTCTTACAGCCAACTAGGTCATCTCGACAGACCGCTCACAATATACTTCTTGTTCTTGTATATGACTCCCAGTGGCGAATCTAGCTGTTGAGTCGCCTCTGGCTGCAGAGATGGAATATACAGGGCCCATCTTACACCCTTCACTGCCAATCTCCCGTTTTACCACACATCTAAAATATTTCACCTTCGTACGTCATCTTTTCGACATCACTAAAGTCATGCGCATCACGCAATCTCTCATACTCTTCAGGCGGCAGCTCAATCATCAAAGGCGTGATTCCTTGTCCCTTGGTGCCGTGGATGATGCGCTCGTACACACCGGTCCCTGCGGGAACTCTGAACTTGGCAGTGCCGTGCCACCAGCTCGCCGAAAAGCCCAAGGCGATCATGAACCGCATGTCGTCAGACTTGTTGCAGACTCCGGCATGCCACAGTCTCATGTCTCGGAAGAGGATGGAACCTTTCTTCACCGTGGGTTGAATTCCAGGCAACGTTTTCTGTCTCTCGGCAACGTATTCGTCAGTGATGTGAGTTTCGCCCTTTGAGCCGGGCGGTGTCTGGGCCTCGGTGTTGAAATGATGCGTCCCAAGCCAAATCTCTGTCGAGCCGTTGGCCGGACTGGCGTCACAGGTATAGACATTGGCAACCACATAGAAAGGTGCTGGCGGGTGATTGCACATGGCGTCTGAATGCACAGGTTGCCGCTTGACGCCATGAGGCAAGGCGTTGTTGCCACTGACCATATTCCACGTCGCGTTCGGTCCCAGGTAAAGATTCACGGCGTGAAAGAGCAGCTTGTTCAGATAGACGTCGTTGAAGAAGTACTTTGACGGACTCAACGGAGGGCCCTGTTGAATGTTCTCGGCCCCGAAGTTCTTGTAGAGGTTCTCTTTGCTGAGTTCCTTCTTCGTGTCCTCGACCATAAATTCATTGATGACATCGAGGTGATCGGGGTTGATGACATCTTTGAGGATAACCACACCGTCCCGATGCATCCCGGAGAGGAACAGCTTAATATTGGCGTCATTGAACTGGCCGGCAGCCAATTCCTCTGGGGATGGAGTGACTTGAACAGGTGTATTGAGATGCTTGGCAGGCAAGTCTGGCATATACTCGTACTGGGTGATCATCTTGCCATGTTTGGGCTCGACCGTCCCATTGGTTCCGTTGGGAGACATTGTATCAATACGAAGTTGATGCTGTTTCGAGTTGGCTCCTGAACCTGTTTGGATCAGACGACCTGGGCACAATTTTCGCAGACTTGGTCTTGTTGTTATACAATCACTACTCACCCTTGTTGGATGCTCATTCACGCATCAGCAGGCAGAAACTCTCTCATCAACCGCAACAAGGCTTTGCTGACCAGCAGACAGTCTCATTCACGGGCCAGTAAGATCCGGACACCTGACTCACCGTGTTGGGCACGGATCGGAGGCTGCAAAGTTCCGTATAGGCTGCCATCTTCAGACCACATGGTGGAGACGGCAGTTGGGACATGCAACATAGGAACAGCTGTGAGTTTGTCTCCAAATATGATGATACGAGGCTCAAGGAGAGAATCAAAAAGTTGGAGAAGAGCGACGAGGCTGTCGAGGGTGGAAATTTGACCGCGTTGGCCAAGCCACTGACTGAATATCGCGGAAAAGGTGACGGTTCTTTGTCTGCATCGTGGCATCCCAACACATGGCCACACCGCAAGCTACTTGGCTGATTCGGATCACCCGCCTGATGACACTTTTGAGCGATGATGACCCTGTCACGTGCCTTTTGGATGAGGCCTAGACTGTCAAGAGCGGACAAATAGGGAGTCTATGCGTACAAGACAAATCTCCTGGGCTCTGGCTTATTTTGCCACGGATGGTCCCTCAGCAAGGGATGAATGATGAACTGATCGCCTCAAGATCCCGTCCACTCCAAGGAATGTGCCAAGCACGTCTGTGCTCGCTCTCCCTTGCATGCCCCCTTATGTTGAGACGTGAATGCCAACTTATGGAGGTTTCATTACGCGCCCAGACACGCAATGTTATTTTGATAGATTACGGGATTATACCCGTAAGATTTCTAACGGCAAAAGACATTTCAAGCTGACGGTAGTTGATCGATAGATTCGTATTCATCTGCCAGTTCACGCGTTCTGGATGCGCGTCTCAAATTCCACGTTCCACAAGAAGGTTTAAGGTCAAACAAGCTTCACGTTAGAGCTTCACACTAACTGTCTCTCACATACAGATTTGGAGACGCTAACAGCGTAGCGTCTCTCTAGCGGCTCGGCAGTCTCAAGCGATTTATAACAAGAAACAATGTTTTTCGGATGCAAGACCTTTTAAGGATTCGTACCGTAGACGATAGAGTTCATGTATTTTACCAAAGACAAACATTCAACACCAGGGGCAACGATGGACTCGAGTCAATTCGATGGAATTGCCTTTTCTCCCTTTCAGCGACTTTTCTCGTTTTCCCTTCTTTCACTGATCACAGAAATCCTCTTATTCCTCCTCGCTGGCCAGCAAGACTCTCCCACCTTTCAACAAAGAGTCACGAAAAGCCAGGGGCAATTCACACAGCGTCGCGTCCTTGTCCATGACCAGCTATGCCGTCGACCCTCGAGCAGGCTATCCCCCTCCTCGAGGATCTAGATAGTCCATGCGACAGCAGCAGTCTTGCACGAAGCGTCCTCGTCATTCCCGAGCACCGGCTATCAAAACAATGGACTCAGTTCTGCCGACTCTGGCTACGACTCGTCGTCAGCCTTCTCCCGAAATACATTCAACCCGGTGGTCGAAGTAAGGGCGAACTACCTCCCACGGCATACCTCGATGCCCTGCGCGGGTACGCGGCCTTGATCGTCTTCTTCTATCACTCCTTTCCGCTTCCTAGCATGTGGCTCTTCCAACAAACCTTCTTCCGCGTCTTTTTCCGTGGCGGTCCCGGCATGGTGGCCGTGTTCTTCGTCATCTCGGGCTACGTGCTCAGTTACCGCATGTTGAAGGCGATCCGCAACAAAGACCCGATCAAGCTGCTCGACAGCCTGGCGTCCTCGACGTTTCGGCGCTGGTTCCGGCTGTACGGATCGACCGGGGTGGCGACGTTCGTGGCAATGGTGCTCACGCAGCTGGGGTGGTTCTGGCCACACGCGTCTGATCGAAAAGAAACATTCCTCGAGCAGGTCTGGGACTGGTTCCAGGACTGGCTGGAGTCGAGTGACCCGTTTGCCAACATCCAAGGCTGGATCCACGGCTGGGCGTTCCGGTCGAGGTACCTGTACCAGATGTGGACTATCCCCGTCGAGTACCGGGGCAGCATCGCGCTCTTTGTCTTCTGTGCCGCCGCCTGCAAACTCTCGAGTCGATCGCGGATGGTGTTTCTGTGGCTGGTGGTGCTTCTGTCCTACTACTGGCGGGCCGTCTACATTGCTGAGTTCCTGATCGGCATGTTCATTGCGGACCTATCACTAATTCGACATCCCGAGCGCCTGGGCCGACGACTGCTCTTACCAACGCCACCAGGGCCTGCTGTTCAGGAAACCACCACCAGCAGCAGCAACATTGAGAAACCGATCCCCACCCCAACCTGGCGGCGGTGGCTGTTGGGGCGACGACGACACGGGCTCGCCTCCAAGATCGGCTGGGGCCTAGTATCGGCGACGGGCTTTTACCTACTCAGCCAGCCCGACGACCCGGACAGCAACACGGAGCTGCCGGCGCCGTGGCCGACGCTCCTGGGCCTGGTGCCCTCGCAGTATGGCGAGGCCATGTACACGTTCTGGGTGAGCATCGGGGCGGGCCTGCTGGTGCTGGGGCTCGACAACTCGCCGACGCTGCAGACCCCGTTCACGTGGTCCTTCTCGCAGTACCTGGGCGACCTGTCGTTCGGCATCTACGCCATGCACATCATCGTGCTCGAGAGCCTGTTCAAGCCCATCCTCAACCCCTGGCGCGAGGTCCACCTGGGCGAGTCGGCCATTGCGTGTTTCGTCATTGAAGTCGTGGGCACGGCGGCCGTGATCTGGGCGGCCGACTATTTCACCCGCGCGGACAAGTTGGTCGTGCGGTTCGGGCGGTGGATCGAGGTGAAGACATTTGAGAAGTGGTAAAAAAAAAAAAAACACGAGCCCGAGAATGGAGAATGGTAAAATATACAATAGCCATAGAGACTGGCCATCTACCGCGAGGGGTGTGGAAAGAGGGAGAGGGAGAGGGATCATTTTCTTTTCTCTTTCTCTCTTCCCCCAACCCTTGTGGGTCTGGAGGTCTGGTCAGAACTACTAATGAAAGAATTATGCTTGATGGCCTGGTGACGATGTTGTTTCTATTTTGAGGGAGGCCAATATACTCGACTTCTTCATAGTCGTGGGGAGTTGGGTATCAATCAATGTTGAAGAGATTCCTGGTTCCTCCATCGCATCACCTCCTGATCTGGATAGGTCTGGCTTCCCATTCCTGCCTTTTCGTTCGGCCCCTTCAATCTGCGCGGAGAAAGTATGCCTTTCTCATCCTATCCCCGTCTCGTCTCGTCCCGTCCCGTCCCTTCCGTGTGTCCCTCATCCCATCAATCGATCCATCAATCGATCGATCTTGATCCCGTTGTTGAAAACGGGTCACTTCCATGAACTGTTCCTCTGTCCGTCTCTCCATGCCTTTTCCATCTTTATCTCTCTACTAAGAAGCACAAGGCCTCCTGCGAGTGCGAGTGCGAGTCCGAGTCCGAGTCCGAGTCCGAGTCCGAGCCCGAGCCAGTCGAGGAAGACCCAGAAGAAGAGCTAGAAAGTGCGTCCTTGCGCAAACCTAACGCCTCGTTCCTGCTGCATCTCTTCTCTCTCTCTCTCTCTCTCTCCTTCCCCTTTCTCACCCACCTTTGCTTCTCCCCCTTCCCACTCTGTGAGAGTAGTCACAGACGTTCGATCACAGATTTGAAATCACTGCGCGGTATCGGGCCCCCACACAGTCTTTGCAATGTCGACCTCGAGCCGGATCTTGTCCCACTGCTGGTCCTCGGTCAACTCGTTGCCCTCCATGGTGCTGCTAAAGCCGCACTGGTGGCTGAGGCAGAGCTGGTCGATACCGCCGGGGCAGTACTTTGCGGCCTCGCGGAGACGCTGGACCATGGCGTCCTTGTCGTCGAGGTCGCCCTTTTTGCTGGTCATGACGCCGAGCACGACGACCTTGTGGGGCGGGAGGTGGCGCAGGGGACTGAAGTCGCCGGAGCGGGCGTCGTCGTACTCCAAAAAGTAGACGTCCACGTCGAGGTCGCGGAAGAGCACCTCGGCGACGGGCTCGTAGCCGCCCTGGGCAAACCACTGGCTGCGGTGGTTGCCGCGGCACAGGTGGATGCCGATGGTCATGTCGCGCGGCCGCTTCTCAATGGCCCGGTTGATCAGCGTGGCGTACTGGCTGGCGAGCTGGCGGGCGTCGGCGCCGTGGCGGGACTCGGCCTCGGAGCGCATCTTGGGGTCGCACAGGTACGCGAGGTTGGTGTCGTCGAGCTGCACGAACCGGCACCCGGCGGCGTACAGGTCGGCCAGCTCCTCCTGGTACACGCGGGCGAGGTCGTCGAAGAAGGCGTCCATGGACGGGTAGGCGTCGAGGTCGATGGTCTCGCGCCCGCCGCGGAAGTGCACCATGGTCGGGCTGGGGATGGCCACCTTGGACGAGACTTTACCGAAGACGCTCTCCCCGCCCGCCGCGGCGATCTGCCGCTCCAGGAACCGGAAGTCGTCGACCTGGATGGGCTTGCTGTGGCCGAGCTTGCCCGTCACGATCAGCTTGGGCGGCGCGAACCCGCCCTTGGAGGTGTTGGTCGACATCATGTTGCCGCGCACCTCGATCCCGTCCAGGTGCTGCAGGAAGTCCAGGTGGAAAAACGCCCGTCGGAACTCGCCGTCGGTGATGGCCCGCAGGCCCGCGTCGAGCTGCTTCCGCACCACGTCGGCGATGTGCTTGTCCTCGAGCTGCCGGAGGTCCGTCTTGGACAGTTCGCCCGCGGCCACTTTCTCGCGCGCCGCGAGGATCTCCTTGGGCCGTAGCAGCGACCCGACCTGGTCCGCGCGATATACTCCGGTTGGAAGCGGCATGACTCGGCTTGTTGTCTGGCTGGCTGGCTGGCTGGCTGGCTGGCTCTATTACCGAGTTAGTGGGTGTCCTTGCTGTCTATTTTAGGGATCGGGTAGAGGGAGGAAAACAACTTTGCAAACTTGGGTAAAACTCGATGATGCTTTGAAAGAGACCAAGGGGGGATGGATGGATTGAAAAGAGAGACCTCTCTCCGCCCCCCAGTCCCCTATGTACCGCTATTATACCGACTACATAATCCAATCCCGTCTCGCCCTCAAAAACCACCGCAAAGTGAAAAATCGAACTTTCTGCAACTGCCGGGGTATCCACCGAGGTTCCTTTTTACACGGGGGACGTCCCAACGTCATCACGACGCCAATTGGTCGAAGGTGCTGCAAGGCTGTGATGGGTAGAAAGGCAGAGCCGGGTGACAAGGCTGACCAATCAGAAGCCGACATCTCCCAAGCAAGCTTGTCGACGTCGACAACACTTGGTAGACCCTTCCACCCAAATGATATGACGCAACCTAACTACACCGTCTTTGTCTCCTGTAATCTTCCAGCCCAGTGGGCACCAATCTCCCCGGATGAAAGACATGGAAGAGCACTGTATACCCCAGCATGACGGCACCCTCAAAGACCCAGAAATACGCCTCGGCCGTCCACAGCGGGGAGCGCGGGGAGACGAAGAGCTGGACGGTGCGGAAGACGTTGCGTACGCAGATCAGCGCCATCAGCGCGAGCAACGCCGACAGAAAGGGTCGGTGACGGGCAGCGACGAGTAACCACAACCACCTGAGAAGGACGAAGAGAAAGGCCGCGTTGGGCGCGAGTTGCAGGAACAGGCTGGCCTTGAGCAGCGCGAGGGCGGAGCGGACGGCGCCCGTGCTGGCGTCGGGGTTGAAGTACGTGGACGCGCCCTGGGCGGTGCAGGAGATGACGGCGCTGAAGAAGGTCCAGATGACGACGTACGAGAGGCTCAGGTTGAGGCGGGGCCATGATGACTCCGCCGCCGTGACGGAATAGAGGAGCAGAAGCATGTAAAGCGGGAGCGTGAAGATTGGTCTATCTCCTCCAGAGACGTCGGTCAGCACTCTGTTTCCACCCCCTCGACTCGAACCTGTACCTGCGGCAGTGGGAGATGAAACTTACGTGGCGCTGTAAAAGAGCCCCTGGATCGCGCTCCCTTCACCATCTGCATCATGGTCGTGTGCGGCGACCTCGCGACAGATGAACCCCGCCGTCATGACAATGCACGCAAAAGGCAGCGGCCACGTCGTCTCCCAGCATTTGTACTTGCTGCGCGTGATAACCAGGTGTTAGCAGGCTGACACAAATACTTACAATGGCAAGGGTTGTCGCGAGGAAACTTCACACCTGCTCTGCCATGTATGAACCGCACAGGAGACGGCGAACAAGACTGCAAACACGGCAGATGGACCTTTCTCCATGTTGTCAAGGAAGTTGTTGATGTCGGCTTTGGCAAAGGTTAGCGAGGTAACGATGTTTAAAGAGCAAAGGTGAGCAGAAAAGGACAACTGACGATCTGGAGCCATGGCCTCGATCGATATTGGCGTGAGAGGGGAATCTTTATCTCGTAGGGCTATCACAACAGGACTCAACCACGCCAGACCAAGGATATCAATCGAGATCAATTGGATTGCAGACCAAGACTCCAACCGAGAAAGCGGTAAGGGATCGTGACAAACAAGAACCACCGTTGGCATATGTCAGTCTCAACCCATGATCATGAAAGTCGTCTCATCTTCATCATATATGTGTCGTCCGTACGAAAAGCATTTCGTAGGTAGTCTGCCACGTCCCTCGTATTCGGGAAGGAATCAGCCTTGCCTTGTCTTGCCTCGCCTTGCGTTCCATCACGGACGGGTCGTTTCCCCGTATTTGTCCGTCCAACAACCAGTGTCGACAGGTTTCCACCCACAAGAGCAATTCCACCATCTTTTGCAAGCTCAACAATGCGGTGCGTTGATATTCTTTTCCAGCCACCTGGCCATGGCAAAAGTGTGCCTTGCGGATATGCCCAGACGTCTTGACTGTACGGTGAATGGTTGTGATTGGCTACGTGACGAACAGTTATTGCCCGTCCAAATACGAATACGGCGCGACCTTGCAACGCATCGTGTTTACCGAGGACCACGAGACCACGAGCCAGCGGCGCGGAAGAACTGTTGATCCAGAACAAATGCTTTGGTCAAGATGGGGTCCCCAACATCGAAACTTGCCCGACTCCTCCCCAGAAACGAAAAAAAAAAAAAAAACCCACAAGTTATTGCGAAGCGAGAGGGCCTTGCTTAGCTTTTTGTTACGTGAAAGGGCCACTCATTCCCATGCTCTTGGTGGCAAGCTCCGAGCCTCATTAATGGTGTAGGACGAAAGGGGTAAAAACTCTTAATCACCCTGTATAAATTCCACAGCAGACACACACACACTGGTGGTAATCGAGTACTAGGTTCGAGAGCAGTAACTGCCACGGTGATCTCTTGATGACAATATCACTGGGACATAAAAGCCAGGGGCATCGTAAGCGGCCCCTAAACTTTCATATACTTCTGTCACGTCCGTCTTGTAATGGGTAACAAGTGCGTTGCGTCGCTGCGCTCGACTCACACAAAATCCGTAGAGGTGGTGTGATCCCACGTCGATCACATCTGGGTGCTAGACGCCGTTATGCTAGGCCGTCAGGGATACATTTCGTCTCTGGGTGTTCGGATCAGACACACCCCTGCATATCCGAGTCGTAGTTGATTGCCCCGACCATCAGATGTCGCGTAGAGGCGTCGCTCTCCAAACAACCATTGGTTGTCCGAATATGCGTATATGCGTTTCTTCTCGCCCAGTCGGGGACAACACCCATTTCTTGCCTGTCGTCCGTCATGTCGCTACAGGGGTTCAAGAATCCCGTCACATAATCACTGACAAAACTCGTCCTTTGACCCAGCGCGCTTGGCAATATTTCCCAAAGCGTCTCTATTCTGCGAGCAGGACGAATGCATCTCGTCTGTCCATTCTGTGGCGCCCAACGGCATGGTATAACTGGTCTGAATATTCCCACCGGTCAACTGGAGCATTGGTGGTGTGGATGGAATTCGCCGCGCGCCGTTGTCCCTTGCATCGTCAAGGAGGTGGACCGAAGCCAGGACCATGGCAGTTATTCGGAGGGGCTATCGGTTGGCGCTCTCGAAGCATACCCCTGCGTATGGCCAGGTCCAGAAGGACCCCTCAAAGACCCTAAGCGGAACCGATGGACTTGTGATTCCCACCAAAGCCAGGAGGCTTGAGCGATCGCTTCCAGACCTGCATGTTTAACGCGGCGTGAACCGATCTCGGGAAAACGAGACTGGCTCCAAATTTGGGTTTGATTGGGTGATTAACAAGCACATGGTGATCATCTGGTTTCACGGCCTTGTATGCTAGGCAACCTGTTCGAGTGTCGCACCTGAAAAAAGTTGCAAAGCATTACCAACCAGGTTCATATGCAAAATACCGGCGTGCAGCACAAATTGAGCCCTGTCGTATCCGTTTCGGAATAGGAGACAGTTCGCAGTGAGGCTCCCAGCTGTGTTCCGATGATCGTACACAGTATCTGTGGAAGATTAATCCAAAGGGTCTAGTGAGGCCCTCCAGAATCGGAATGATTCGTTCAAGCACACGTCCATCAGTATTCTGACGAGAGTGCCTCACTGTCAGGCTCGGGGGTCAACTGGAGATCGGCCAATCTCTCCACGTAAGCGGCCGTAGGACCCGATGTTATAGAGCGTGCTGGCAAGCTGAACTCCTTGTTCGGCATCAACTCGAAGGCAGTCAACATTGGTTGCATGCCCCCGATCCAATCGTCGTAGGAGTACGTCAATGCAAAATGTACCCTGATCTGCAGAATATGGCCGAGCAAGTAATGCGGCGTGTTAAAGGTGGCGCTGTGGAAGATCAACACGACATAGTAGAGGAGACCAATTTCCTTGTCCCACAGGTTGTCCAAGTCGGTCTTCTGAAGGGCATCACGGATGTCCTCAAGTATGGAAGTCCCTCGCGCCACAGAACGCCAATGCCTGTTGCTCTCCACCGATCGGATCAACAACACCGAGGTCAATCTGCATGCTTCGTAGACGTGATCGTCCGAGGACGGCAAGTCGGGCACCTTCGAAGACGGCATGGCCAATATGCGCTGGCCCAATGACATCGATATCGTTGCGTCCGCGATCAGTTGATGTTGCGAGGAACAGGTACTTCGCCGAAGCCAGATCTTGACCACTGACTGCATCATCTGAAGGAGAAGTCGCAGGTGGTCGCGTTTCAGCAAGGGGAACGGATCTTCGCTCGGGTCTATTCGCCCATCGTAAAAAGGGGAATAAAGCTCTGGGTCGGCTCGAAGTCTTGAATGCCATCTGTCTTCAAAGACGTGTTCGTATTCCTTATACGCCGTTTGTGTATCTATCGGAGGAGCCAAGCCAGGCACAGGTATGTGGCATCTTCTCGAGATTCTGCGCGGATAGTCAGCCTTTGCTACATGAGCACAATGAGGTCTCTCGTTGTCTCACGCAATCATTAGGATGATCCTCAGCACGTCCTTGCAGAATCTTGAATCTTGAAACATGTTCATATTCTCCGCCTCTTTGATGAGAACCGCATAAGCATTGCGGTGGATGACATATTCTTCAGCTCCGGCCGGCTCTCCACGAACCTACAAAAGTCAGCGAGTCGGTTCACCCGTGCCGTTGGCGCTGACCACGTCCAAGGAGGGCTCAAAATCTCACACTTACTAATGCACACGTGGCAAGAGAAGCGACGGCCGCGATGCAGCTGATGATAGCAACCTGGGAGGGCTGCTGGATAAGAGTGCGAACACGGCGCATGGCCTCCAGCTTCAAAGCAGTAGTCGTGGGCGACGTCGACTTTGCATTTAGCCCGTCGAGATGGACCGAACACAGAAGCAGCATGGAAGTGAAGAACGTGCTGTCTTTGGTCCCTTCGGGCCATACGCTCTGTTGCATCCTTTTCTGATTATATACCGCGAAAACTAGACACCAGAACAGGAGGCAAAGGTCAGCAACCTCTGAAGGAGGGAACATGAGTGCGCCGGAGAGGCCAAGGGTTCACCATTATGCTTGACCTCGTCCAGGATCCCTGGTATGTGTTCTTCTATCGCCAGCTGTGGCAGAGACCGAAATGGATCGAGTTGAGAGCCAAAGAAGATGTTACCAGCGCGATTGCGGCGTCGCCGTGGTACAACCTGGGGGAAATCAGGGATTAGCTAAGCGCCCATCCTTGAAGTACCCATGGTGGCCATGAGTTCATGGCGATTAGACTGTGGTCACAGGTGCTGGCAAGATCTGTGCGATGCAACAAAACATACCTGGCCAGTCTGACGCCTCGTCCGGTGCAGTTCTCTCGTAGTATGTGCCCTTATTTGGCTGATCCCCGCCTTGTCCAGAGCGCCATCAGCTCCCATCAAGACGAATTCGAACCCAGCATCGCCTCCCGCCTTCTTCTTCGCCGCGTCCCATTTGCTGGCATGTCGAGGATGATCGCTCGCCATGGTTTTGCAAACACCGGAAGCGGATAAGGCGGGACGCACGTGTGCCGCCCGGGCCCTCGACCCACGACAATAAGATGTTGGATTCCAGGCTCCTCCTTTTGTGATTTTGAAGGTTTCGCCGCCGACACAACTGGTTGCGATCAGGACGACTTCTGCCCACAAATATGTCCGTGAAAAGTTGCCCCGGTTCGGAGAGAGAGGGAGCCAGACAATCAGCTTGCCTCGCGAAACAGCGACGTCTGTGGAATACCTTGTCCCAGGCTGACGAGGGAGCCTCGGAATGCTGGCGGGGGGCCTCTCAAACCACCATTCTTGGTACTGACTCCATCGGCGCCCCCAGCTGTTGCCCGTAGTGTCACCCAAGTGTCAGTGGTTGCGCGGATGACTAACGCACAATGGGTCAAGACGGTATCCGACGGTGAGAAATGTGGCCAATGGGTTGCTCGCCAGCCACAGTCCCGAGCTGCTCACGAAAGGCTGATTCCTCCCCACTCCCAAGCGAGGTCCAGAAAAGTCAGCAGCGACCTTTTACCGGATCCGGATTCCCCCCTCTCCAAGGACAGATCTCAGAAGAAACCCTCGATCCACGGAACCTAACCTTGCATCGACAGGCATGCCAGCCCATGAGGCGAAGTACTCCCATCGCAGCTTTCATGGGGATAGATAATGGAGCGATGCAAGCAGAAGAGCTTT